CACTGGGGATATCCATGAGTCTCCAAGTGCCACGCCAGCAAATTTACATTTCACCTCCCCTTGTGCTATTGCCTGGATTATTAAACAACAACAAAAATCAAACACTCACAATGACAGTTTAAAACACTGTGTATTTAAAAAGTCCTCCGGTCAGGCCGAGTGACAAGATAGACCTTCAGAATAGGGAAAGGTGACTGTATTTTGTCAGGTCAATTCAGTGACTCATTTCTGTTTATCTTTTTGTTAACAGTTGGCTGTTGCGGTTTGTTTAAATTGCACAGTTGAGATGTTAAGATATATTTTTCGATATTTTGACCAGAGTGGAATGCGATGAAGTGAAAAAGGGAAACCGGACTCACCTTTGTTAGTTCAAGGGATATGGCAGCTGCCATCTTTCCTCCATATGATTCAGAAAATATATAGAAGGGGACACTCTGGAGAAAGTAAATGAATCAGTCGGTTTTATTTCAATTAAATGAAAACCTAATATAAAAAGAGTAGAATACACAGTAGAACAGTGAATATGTCAACCAAAAACCTGGAGTAAAGGTGCCCTGAAGATAATTGAAACTGTTTATTTACTTTTACACCCGCACCGTGAGAAAGAGAGATTGCCGCTCCTTCCTGCCTGAAGCTTTCAAAGTATGCAACCTGAACATTGGATAGTTTATGCATGGACAATTTTTTTTTTTTTTTTTTTTTTTTTTTTGTGCAGTGAAAGACATACTGAAACCATACAGTACCATACCAAATTATGGAAATGATCACTGCAAATTACACTCCTGTGCTTGGTCTATCCCATTTCTTTTGTTTTGCTTAATTCTTTGAGTTTCATGAGAAAATGACACACAGGAAATAAAGGCCACAAAACCATTTGGCTTGCATTGATCTTGCATTGACGTCATCAGGTTGACCGCCTTTTGGAATCAAAATGTAAGTGTAGTCAAGGCAATTAAATATTGTCATAAAACAAGCCTGAAATCACGAATGATTCATTCTGTGGGGTTAGTTTTACTACTGACATCCACTTGAAGGAGAAATATATCATATAAATGCTAATATTCAGCAAATTAGAGAGTCCATTTAATAATCAAGCACATCAAGTTACGTACTGTTAATAGCATGAAGACACAACATTCATCGCTCCTATAATGCATATTACATGGGAAAGGTTCAATACAATCAGGTTTCCAGATTATAGTGTTTGGAGTTAGAAAAGGTGCTTAGATTCAAATTTATTACATTTAGAAGCTGATGAGTCCATTGGCTGGCATGCCCTTAGAAAGAGCAGCAGAGAGCTGGGAACACAGAAGATTAATCAGGACACACTAGTCCGGACAGGGCTTGGAGCACTGCGCCTGACTGTGGAGGACTGCTCAGGCTGCTACCGGCATTGTGATGTGACACCATTGTTCCAGAGGGTAGCAGTGTGATTTAGCAGAAGTGGGAAGCAGCTGTGGGCAGCATCGAGGCCCCACGCTTGACTGGGACCCAAAAGGGGAGTCCCTACATTTGCATGAGAGGGCCAATCCAGCAAGGCCTGCTATACAATTCCACATCTCACTTCCCCCTACATCTTAAAATACTGTACTCCCTGAAAGCAACAGTATGTAGTAATTTCACCTTAAAATTGACAGCTTCAAAATGACCTGGATGTTACACTGGGTTGTAGCAGGACGCTCTGCCTTGCAGGTATACTCATGTAAAAAAAATTAAAAAATAGAAGCTCTAATTGGACTCTTATTATAGTAAAAGTAGACTCTGAAATCTACTTGAGTGCAAAAGTAAATAATTAAGTTTTACAGTCAAAATTAACAAAAGCCATTCTGGTAACTTGACACAATAAATACTTTTACTGTATTAACTTTCATAGTACTCACAGTAAGAAGAAAAACATACATCACTTGGATGAGGAATATACTTTTTTTGCCATAATTCTACAAGGGATGTTTTCCGCAAACACAACACTGTTCATCACCAAATGAACATGTATATACGAGTGAAGCATGGTGCTGGCTGCATCATGCTTTGGGATTGCTTTCTTCAGATGGAGCTAGCACCTACATGTCAAAGTGGAATTATGAACAACCTATGAGAAAATCGGAAATGTATTTGGGGTTCATCTGAGACCCTTTAAATTGTGGCAGATGTGTATTGAATCCTAAAGTGAGTTGGAATGTGATTGGTTAATTCTGAACACAGCCACATTCTATTGTAAGAGGGTGTGCACTGTGCACATCAGTTGTTTAGTTTTATTTGTCCTCTCGAAAGATTCTTTATAATTGAGCTCTACAGGTAATACAGAAAGTCACAGTAAAAAAGTGTATATACGATATCACAACAACCTGGATCAGGGGTGTGTACACTTTTTATACCCACTGTATTGCCTTTTTTATACATCAAGTTGTCATCAACAGAGGATGAAAAAGTAACCAGACTAGCTTGACAAAGAAAGGACAAGATATCTTGTTCAAAAGTAGGATGTAAAAGTAGAATGTTGAGGGAAAAATAAATAATCTATTGTACAGATACATGAAAAATCTTAGTACTATAACAAAGTATTTGTAGTTAGTGATTTACAGCCAATCGGTAAATATTTTGTTACTGTATTGCCTCTGCAACTCATCAAATTTAAGGTCCGGATAATACCAATGGACCAGCCGGGACACCTCTTCTCCCCAAGGCGATTTCGACAATCATCCGTAATGGCAAAAAATCATGCCAGAGTTCGAGACCAACAGATTAAAAAATGATCGTAAACTGCTTCGGGGCGCGACACATCGTGAACTGGAGTAGGCACTTTTCATTTGCTGACTGGAAGATGAAGATGAAGTAGGAACGTTACAGTTTCATGTCTAATAAAATTATTTTTTCTTCATATGCACGTATTTGTAATTGACATGTTTATGTTGTATAATATCTTCATGTTTTTACATCTATAAATGTTCATATTGTATTAAACATTGTAGCTGGTGGCCATTTTATTGGAAATGGTTACAACAAACTCCCGTTATAACGTACAGATTCATTATGTGTTGTAGCGATGTGTTTAATTTGAACCAACAATTTGTTTACTTCCATCAGAAATAACCCAGAATTTCACCCCAACACAAAAAAATCCAAAAATGGACTTAATAAAATAAGCCAACTGATTTTAGAGTGTAGCATTTGAATTGGGACCAGAGTTTTGCACAGTGTTTGAACTTGCCGCAGCCCAAAGCAATCAGAAATAATGAGAACATCATAAGACATGATGTTCTCACACAAAATATTTTTGATGGTGGATAGTATGAACTTTCATTGACCTTTTCCGATGTGGATATCTTTTATATTCACAAATGCTTACTAATGTATTTATATATGCTACAGTCATTTTGAGTGAATTTTACTTCCTGCAGTGTGAATTTGATTCTGCTAGTAGACTTCACTGTCAAGCATTGTGTCCCATGAATGCAAAGTGATAGGAAAGACATTTAAATGTTGACATTGCAAATTTGTTCACGCTTTTCGCGATGCTTCTTGAGATGTGCCTGTGACGGGGGGATGTATTTGTACACAAGCGGACTTGTCTGTAAAACGAGAAAACACAAAACAAGCAATTGGCTTCAGGTTAAACTGCAATGTTGGTCCAGTATTTGTGGATGCATTCTCTTTGTTATATAAGTACGAAACAAATTGACCAAAAAGGAGAATTCAGGCCTGAAGGGAAATTCACATTAGTGTGTCATTAACTTCCCAAATACCTTGTGTTCAACCTTTAAAGTAACCAAAATGAAATTGAAAATTCGACAGAAGGATACAAAGGTGACAATGAAAAAAAAAATGTAATACTGTACCTCCTAGAGTTAGCGTCATGAGTCTGACAAAGGAGACATGATGATCATTCATTGACTGTTAAATAAAATTAAGAAACATTTTATAGTTAATTTTCATTTTTCAGCCACCCAATCAATGCTGGCCTTTATTTATTTTTAAAAGAACCAATTTTTACCCATAATTTTAAGTTGAAATAGCTCCCACTCACGACACTTACTATAAGGCTGAAGATACCATACGACTAAAAAAAGCAACATTTGATGATTTATATAAGTATTGCCATGAGTGGTTAATAAAAGGCATTTGTTGAACTGTTAGGAATGAAACCACAAATTAAAAATATGCACTTTATTAGTGCGTGTACATACTTTTGCGTGAACAAGCTCAGATATTACTAGTGCATTGCCACAGTAGAAATTACGAAAACAAGCTAACACCATATGTCACAGTTTGGAGTCCATACTCAGCGGATCCCAAGCAGCACCAGAGGAATTCTGTGCATCTGTCCCAGTCCAGCTGTGAGGAGTCCCCGTGATGCCAGCTGGAGGGGTGGGGGGGTTGTGTGACCAACGTCGCTGCTGGCGAAACCAACAAAGTTTAAATACAGTGGCCAGCCACACAAGTCTTCAATATTTATGAGGGGCTTGACAAAAAGATGAAAAATAAATGAAAGTCTTTTTTCATGGCCTTCCAGATTTGCAAAGATCATTTCATTAAAAATACATGACAATTTTATGCACTCTATAATTGTCCCCTTGCAGAGGGGTGTGCGTGTGACTGACGAGGCCCTTGGCTGAGAACCCTTCATCAGATTGCGGTCAGCTTCACTTTCTTAAGACTGGTGGGCAGGAACGTGGGAGGAATCATGTTAGTCAGTACTCTGAATATTGTGGAAGAATTGCTCACTGAGCGGGATGTGTTGCAGTAACGATTGTCCTGTGCTGTCCACTGCTGTCTTCATTAATAAGAGGAAGAGAGGAACGCAAGAGGACAGTTCTTAGGATACTGTGTGTTACTCAATTTCCGTGGAGATTAACACATCCATCTTTTGAAGCGTGCTTGCCAGTGTCAGACAGATTCAAGAGGCAAATATGTTTGACACAATACAGTGGTTTATTCTATATGCATTGCTTAAAAAAAAGTATAGGCTTACAGTGCTGTATGCCTTTTATTTTATTAAATTTTTGAAAAAAACTGCAACACAAACTTTAAATAAGTCTTACATTGGAACATTTGTGAACATCCTATTAGTATTTCAGAAACAAAATAACTAAACTTAAACAGCAATGTGCGCTTAGTTGCCAGCGAAGGAATATTTATCCACGTGTCACCGACGATGGCAATTATTTATGAAGCGATGTAAAATCCAAGCCACAAGTGTTAATTAAAGGTGTATTTTCTTGAATTAAGGCCATTATCGACCACTTCCAAATGTCTTATTCCACTCCTCATACAGTTCCAGGTCCTTAGATGAGACACTGGGCCGCACCGTCTGCAGAGCGTTTTGGAAGTCGCTGTAGAGGATTGGCCGTACCTGAGCCGGCGTGATGGTGGCAATGTCATCTTGCTGGATGCTGCGAATGGGTCCCAAGGCTGCCTCTCTACACAGTTGTGTCATGTCTGCCCCGGAGAAGCCGTCTGTGTTTGCTACAATGCGCTCCAGCTCCTCTGCTCTCAGCTGGTTCTTTTCTCGAGACAGGAGGTTGGTTACGATCAGCTGCCGGGCGGGACCTTCGGGAAGGGGAATGTACAACCTCTTGGCGAAGCGACGACGGGCAGCCTCGTCTATTTCCTGAGGTCGGTTGGTGGCACCCACCACCAGGATGCGGTCCTCTGCAGCCGTGGCGGCACCATCCAGCTGAACCAGAAACTCCGTCTTGATTCTGCGTGAGGAGTCGTGCTCGCCATCAGTGCGCTGAGACAGCAGCGAGTCAATTTCATCGACGAAAATGACAGCAGGTTGGTGACAGCGGGCGATGGCAAATAAGGCCCGCACCATTTTTTCACTCTCACCCATCCATTTGGATGTGAGCGATGACGCGCTGATGCTGAAGAACGTGGCACCTGACTGGCAAGCAATACATTTGCCTATTAACGTCTTCCCAGTCCCAGGAGGTCCAAACAGCAAGATTCCCTTAGGTGGACCCCGGAGGCCTGTAAAGATGTCAGGTCTCAACATTGGCCAAACAACAATCTCCTTTATGGCGGTCTTAGCAAACTCCAGGCCTGCTATGTCCTCCCACACCACAGGGGGCCCGTGGTCCATGATCTCACTCATGATCAACTCCACTATCTTTGGCTCAAAGTTTTTCAGATGTTCATGGTTGGAGTTAGGTCTTGGCGCACCCTCCTCTTCGTCCTGCCGCGGCATAGGCGACACAAATTTAGGAAAAGCATTTCGAGGCCTGTTAGCTCCCAGGGATTTCTTCACAGTCGCTGCCGCGGCAGAACCCGCGCCTCTTTGGGGCTGATGGAAATGTTTCTTTTGTTGATCCACAATTAGCTGCTCACGGGCTGATTTGAAGTTACATGGGGGTCTTATGTCACCCCCTGCTTGTGGCCCCCTGCCTTCACTTGCATCTGGATTGTAAAAATTCTTCCGCTTCGATGGATTGGAGGTAGGAAAGAAGCCGGGTTGATAGTTGCTGCCTACAGGGCGCATGTTGCTCTCAGGAGGAACTGATGGGGGATGACTAAACACCGGCTGTACTCTGGTGTTTGGACGGGATGATGAGTAGGTATTATCTGACAGGCACTCAGAGGTTTTTGGTCGATCTACAGAAACAGTGGCTAGGCTATTAACCTCTATTTTGGCTTGTGGTGGACAATCAAGTCTGAATGTTGTGCCCCCTGACCTGCCTGCAGCAGTGGAAGCAGACAAGGAGCTGCTGATGTTGCTGCTCTCTTGTCCAACAGATATGTTAACATCTGCTGGTGCCACAAGGGAGCCATCTCCCCCTGCACTTGCTTGAATCATCTTCTGCACGCAGGGCAAGTCGAGCATGTGCTCCAAGGTGAGGGACGACTCCCATTTGACGCTGTGATTCTTCTGATTACGGGCCAGATGAAGCGCGCTCTCTGCATAGTTGTTAAGCCCCGTGCGGGGTTCATCTGAGTCCAGCACTGCAGCATAGCGCTCTGAGTAGGTCCTGAGCAGGCTACCCATGGCGGCCTCAGAGAGGTTGGAACTTGCCCATGCATACTGAATGGAGAGGATGTGGGCCCGGTAGGCATCGGCCGTCTGTTCAGGTGTACAATTGCCAGATGAAATGTCAAAGGACCTCCTCTGCCATTCGTCCAGGTGCGTGCCACTCATGCCTGGGCTGTTCCAGCCTGGTGAAGAAGATGGGGCATAAATGATGAAAAATGCAACACCTCAGCAAAAGCCATGGTTTCAGGTAATTTGCAGCTTTATGATGGTGCAAACACAATGTCAAACTCTCCTATAGGTCACAGAAAATGTCACAACTTAGTGGATTTGATGTAAGTAGTTTGACACTACTGTATTAAAATGCTGCTTTGTTGATAATAGTCTATTTCGCTTCGTTCGAATTTCACAACCGATCAATTGACAGGTTATATAAATTAACTTTCACAGTAGACTCGGTGGACTGATGTGCGAACCAGTTCACGCTCGTACGCTACAGTCTGCTTACAATGTAAACACGGTGAACATCAAGGTTCGCAACGCAAAGCGTCCAAAAAAAGCACATCACTTACTCTTGGCGGTATGCCCTCACGACTTTGTTACGAAATATAAATACCACCCCCGCAAGTATTAGTCGTATGAAACGTAAAGTTTAAAACGTATGCTTGCTGAACTATTTGTCCCGCCACCCTTCGCTTCCTGTAAGCATCACTTCCGGTCGTGGTGAACGTAGGGTTCCATCCCCCCAAACAGGCAACGAACACTTACAACAATATTCAGTCGGAAAATGAAAATTATATTAACGCAGATCGACGATGCGGTAAGTAAATTAAAAAACATATCTATAAATTATTATGTCGAAATTTTAAACATCACCTCGAGGAAATTCGACATCTGTGAATACTTAACCTTATTTTTATTTTCGTTCATTCACAAACACTTAACTCACTAACTTATTTTCAACGCTGAATTTTGTACACTTACCGAAACACTTCATATCACAAAGTAAAGTTTCGACTGTGCCAACACCATCGACTTTTGTGTGAAACCTGTAGTGCCATCTTGTGTTGGAAAGTGGATAAAGCCGTATTGGTCACTGTGCCTTTGCTATTTCACTTTGCATTCTGGGAAATGAAGTGCACATGACGTCAAACATCCAATTTTACACAAACTAACAAAGAATATGCTTTTAAAAAGACGTCAAATATGTATATGAATGATGTGTACAACCATTTTAGTATAGTTATTAATATATACCCAGGTTTTAAATAATTACGAACGTGATTTTAAATATAAGCAAAAACTACACTAACCGAGGAACTTGCAATCTTGCGACGGCAGGCGATAGCCTCAGACTGGGCGCGCATGTCGTTGTTGAGTAAATAAATACTATTCTTGATAGCCTATACATAACTAACCATTTAGTTGGATGTCGTAGTTGCGAACTGTTTGTTGAGGATCGTATCATATTTTATATTAAATCAGAGAAATTAGCAGCAGTCCATTTGAGCCAAAAACCGGATGCTGACAGCTATTCGGCCCATGTTGGACAAGTCTGTGGAATTGCTGTCTGCTCCCAGTCACACCCTTGTGTGTTACTGGACACTGCTGGGTTGTTGTCTCTTGAGTGATAAGTCGTTTTTTCATATTCACAGTTAATAATTCGTTGTTACGTAGTGGCGACATGCCTGCATTTGGTATAGATCTTCTGATTCGGGTGTGAAGGGAACGTTTGGACGGGATATGACTGACTCATCGTCACCATGGCCCGGTCCGGTCAGAGGAGATAACACTTGACCCTCTGTGTGCTGCTCTGCCTCCCAGACAAGTTACTCCCTAGCAAGGAAAGTTGTTTTGGTTCAAAGTATTTTCAACGATATTCATAATTCCATCCAACGTGGGACAATGGCTTCTCAGATGTACACTTTTGTTACCCGGGACGACAACAGCACCATTTATGCAGAAGTTTCCAAAATCCTCCTTTCTACTGGGCAGTGGAAGAGGCTGAAAAGAGATAACCCCAGATTCAATTTGATGCTTGGAGAACGGAATCGACTACCATATGGGCGTCTAGGTAATGTATTTTTTCCCCTTTCGTTATTTTGCTGAAAACAGTATCTGCATGCGCTACATTTGGTGCCTACCCACTCAGAACGAGACAGCTGCAGTGACTGTGCAGGGAAACAAGCCCAGGCATCGTGTGGACGCTGGTCAATGCTTCCACCACTTACTGTGCAATTTGTTAACATTCAAATCTTTGGGTTGAAATGTTTCGACTGGAACTTTAGGTCATGAACCAGGACTGGTACAGCTGGTCAATTACTACAGAGGGGCAGACAAGCTTTGCAGGAAGGCGTCTTTGGTCAAGTATGTATATTTTATACAATTGCCTTTTTGAAGTTGGCAACATGTTTTGTTCCGCCAATGAATTATTCAAAGTGTTTACATTAACTGACCGTCAACCACTTTTAAATCATCAGGCTAATAAAGACCAGCCCAGAGCTCTCTGATGCATCTAACTGGTTCCCGGAATCCTACATCATCTATCCCACCAACCTCAACACTCCTGTGGCTCCTGCGACAAATGGCCTCAGCCATCTGAAGAGCAATCCCAAGACGGATGAGCGAGAAGTTTTCTTGGCATCTTATCATTCCAAAAAAGAAAGTGGAGAGGGGACTGTGTGGATAGCCAAGTCATCTGCTGGAGCTAAAGGTAGAATATTACACATTTTGTCTGATACAACTGTATCAATCATGCCTAAGCACTTGGCAGTTTAACAGGAGAAAGCCGGAATCAGTTCTGACTATAAGCTTTATCAATGAGAACGTTTTTTTTAAAAGTCTTAAATAGTGAGTGAGTGTCTGCCTCCACAAGGAAGCAAATCTGGAATACTGTTCCACAGGTGTGGCGCTTGACCACTGAAGATTAATCCTGCCATTACACTTTCACAGGCTCTGGGAACCACAAGTAAATGTGAACTTTGGGAGTATAGTGTTTTAATCGGTTGATAAGTCACACAAATTCTTAGCTACAGTGCTTTGAAATAGTCTTTGCCCCTTTCCTGATTTCTGTGTTCTTTGCATATTTATCACATGCAAAAAGTCCAGTTCATCAAACCCACGGACAATTTAAAGTCTTTAATAAACCTCACATGCGTGTTATTCATTGGGCAAGTGAATAACAGCCCCCTAGAACAGAATGACGACATAGAGCTAAGCATGTCAGATTGGGAAGGTGCACCAAGAAAGCAATCAAACTGATGTGATTTCTCTTGTATCTCTAATATCTTCCGGGAAGTCAAAAATCACTTGATTTGTCACTAGTAATAATAATAATAATAGTCGCTAGAGCATAGTTGAAAAATCTGCAAACTCGAGCAAGACAGACTTGCATCCAAATTGATGTCATGTACTAACTAGTAAGCTCTTTGTCCTCCCTAGTAAAGCAATTCAGCACACTGGTTGAACCACTACAGTGTAAAACAACTGTGTACTATCAGTATTTTTCCTCTCTGTTAGTGCCACTATTGACCTACCTGTACACGATTAAACTTTACTAATAAACGACGGTGCTGCACTAGTAACACTGCTAGGCCCAACTAGTACGTATGTCTCAGACAGTAGCAGCTTAATGGACCCTAGTTTGCTCATTAGTAGTTTTGCCTCACTAGTAGGCATGTATCCCTAAAGTTATCCAACGAGTGTGCAGAAATGTCATTCTACGAGTGCGCCCTCGTTGTTCTACCAGTGTGCTGAATTGTCTTACCAGTGAAGGCAAAGAGCATACGAGTACATTGACCTTCAAGAAATAGAATAAGCGCTCATACAACTTTCCATATTGACATGCATCTTAGAACAACATTTCTTCCAACAGGTGCTGGTATTCTGATATCGCACGATGCAAACCAACTACTGCAGTACATTGACAATCAAGGACAGGTTCATGTTATTCAGAAGTACCTGGAGAAACCTTTACTTCTGCAGCCTGGACATCGCAAGTTTGACATCAGGCACGTCATTCATGTTTTTGAGAAGCTCGCAGAGAAAGTCTACACCACTCCACACTAACAGTTGATGATATGGTATTACCAGGAGCTGGGTCCTTGTGGACCACCATTACAACATCTATTTGTATCGGGAGGGCGTGCTGCGGACTTCCTCTGAGCCGTACAACAGCTCCGACCTCCAAGACATGACCAGCCACCTGACCAACCACTGCATCCAGAAGGAGCACTCCCAGAACTACGGTCGCTATGAGGAAGGCAACGAGATGTTCTTTGACGAGTTTCGTCTGTACCTGCTCAACACTCACAGTGTCACCCTGGAGTCCACCATATTACCTCAGATCAAGCAAATCATCAAGTAGGTCCACATTGCTTTTTTTTTCCATTTTTACTGACAAAACTGCTGAAAAAGAATTTACCAACAAAAATTTTGTGGCCATATGTAATAATTGTATCTTTTAAAAAGAAAATAGCTATACAGTATGTACGTAGCGGATATAGTGACTAAGACCTGCCGCGAATAGCACAAAAATGAAGAAAGTAGACGCCACCCCAACTTTTTTTTTTTTTACAGCTTCATATGTTTTTAGTTTAAAACCCTCAATATCCCAATACTGCTGTTGAAAAATAAGCGCACACAGGGAGCTGTCAAGTCATGAAGAAACTTGTTGTGGGCGCAATAGTGAGTGAACTAGCCAACATCCGAAGGTCGTGCTCACATACAGATGACTGGCTCTTCTGAGACTCAGCTATCCGTACACAAGCAATTACCAAGTCCCTTTTGCACGTGGACAGCGCTTGTTGCAACTTCCTACTGTTATTCCATGATGGCATTGGCCCATAAACTCACACACATGTTTTGTAACCCTTGGTTATTGACACACGGTGCTTTGCACACGGAGTGGAAAATGCTGGAGGCTGTTCATTGCACAAATCGTTAAGTGATTCATTTTGTGTTCGGACAGGAGGTCAATTTGGGAAGAGATTGGAAAAAAATGAAAGTGCTTTAATTTACTGTAATTATTAAATACAGCCATTTTTGTCATATTTTAGACAGGATTTAACCATCTACAGTGCTATTCTTCTTAATTTCATCCTCTGGGCAGTGCACTAGTATCTCTGTCAACAAGACAGCCTGAGTACTGTTCTCACCAAGACCGTGCGTAACAGCTGTTCTTGGAGTTGAAAGCTGGGCTTGAATGAATGTGGGAGCCAGTAAGAGCCAATCCCCCATGAAGTACACCCAGGCGACCCGAATGACAGTGAATTATCGATCCTTTTTAATGTTGACAACCCCCGCTGTCCCAACCACTTGGCCTCAACAGCGCTGTGCTGTTTAAAAAGCCAACACAGGACACAACCAAAAAAGGCTTTTAAAGAAAACCGCTGGAAATCTTCACTGACGTCCTTGGACCATTCCATTGGTCGATTCAACTTTTTTTTTCCCGTTAATATTGACATAATTTCATACTTGTTATTTACGATTTGCCTGTCATGCCTGTTTCTGAATAGAACATGAAGCCTTTTGGTTGTGTGGTTGTGCAGGAGCTGTCTGTCATGCATTGAACCAGCGATCAGCACCAAGCATCTTTCCTACCAGAGCTTCCAGCTGTTTGGATTCGACTTCATGGTGGACGTGAACTTCAAAGTGTGGCTCATTGAGATCAACGGAGCACCAGCCTGTGCACAGTCAGTAGCAACACGTATTTGCAAAGGAAAAATAAGTTTTTGCAAGTGGAATTATCACAGCTCTTAAATGGCCTTAATTTCATGACCAGAGGGGTAAATGGTATTAACTAAAGTCACTTTTTGGATTCAATTATACCTGTCACAAAGTAGTTTTAATTCATCATGCTTTTGACTATCACTTGAGTCATATTATTCCAAAGTAACCATACTCTTACATACACTTACTGACACTGTTTTGTCTTTATGTTGCTCCTCTAGGAAGCTGTACCCTGAGCTGTGTCAAGGCATTGTGGATGTAGCCATTTCCAGTGTCTTTACCCTGAACAATAGTGGTGACTGTTCGTCTTCGCCTTATTCTTCCTCTCCATCCTCCCTGTTCTCGACCAACGCTTGCTCCTCACCTAAACTGAGAGGGCCGCTTCACATTGGCCCTTTTACTCGACTTTAAGCACAAGGCCAATCACCCTCCCTTGTCCTCTCTGCTGAAGGAGAAGCAAAGGCCATCAAATTGTAATGTCAGCATTTATTGTCCCTCGTCTTTCACGCATGTGTGCATTCGATCTGCAGATGGCGTACTCTTTGTTGATTTGAAAAGCAAAACAAAATGAAAAGGTACCAACCATTCTGTGAATGTCCTTTACAGCCAAGAATTCTTACTTTGCCCCCCCCGACAGATAGTTAGGAGTCTTGAGAAAGTGTAGATGCTCAAGATTAAACTTGTGCCTTACATCTCCAGCCATGAAACTGCCAACGTAACAACCAGCCAATTTCTGTGTTGGGAGGTGCACGTTGGCAATACATTCAGCAGAGGGAGCTAGTGAGCAAGGAGGAGATCCAGGTTACTGCAACTTTATACAGTGAACTACTCACACTGGTTCCAGTTATATTGAACTGCGTCATTATCTCACCAACCAAGTACTGATTTTTTTTTATTAGCGTTCCTGACGGAACACATCAGGTAAGGCACAAGAAGTGTGGTGGCCCATACTGCAGCCACTCACGCAGTCTTTAAACGGTTTATTATAATGAATTCACTCTAAATCCGGGCAGAAAGTCTTTGAATAAATCATTGCTATTTGAAAGTAATACAACCATTTAGGAAATGCTGCAAGAATACTGTAAGAAAAGTGAAAGAGTGGATATTGGTCTGATGGCAAAGACATGTCAGATTTTTAAGACAGTAACAGAGTGGTTCATCATATCAAATTAATCCATCTATCGATTTTATAATTTTATTCTCATGACGGTCGCGGGCCATAATCAAATGAATAGGATGGATATCAAACGAGCATCATGTACCACAAGGTGTCGCAATATTACTCGCTGGTGACGTCACATTCGTAAACATCAAAAGCACCACTGGTGCTGGTACTTCTCGCCGGGTGCGGTGGCGCGTACCTGTAATCCAAGTTCCCGGGAGGCTGAGGCTGGCGGATCTTCCCGTTAATATTGACATAATTTCATACTTGTTATTTACGATTTGCCTGTCATGCCTGTTTCTGAATAGAACATGAAGCCTTTTGGTTGTGTGGTTGTGCAGGAGCTGTCTGTCATGCATTGAACCAGCGATCAGCACCAAGCATCTTTCCTACCAGAGCTTCCAGCTGTTTGGATTCGACTTCATGGTGGACGTGAACTTCAAAGTGTGGCTCATTGAGATCAACGGAGCACCAGCCTGTGCACAGTCAGTAGCAACACGTATTTGCAAAGGAAAAATAAGTTTTTGCAAGTGGAATTATCACAGCTCTTAAATGGCCTTAATTTCATGACCAGAGGGGTAAATGGTATTAACTAAAGTCACTTTTTGGATTCAATTATACCTGTCACAAAGTAGTTTTAATTCATCATGCTTTTGACTATCACTTGAGTCATATTATTCCAAAGTAACCATACTCTTACATACACTTACTGACACTGTTTTGTCTTTATGTTGCTCCTCTAGGAAGCTGTACCCTGAGCTGTGTCAAGGCATTGTGGATGTAGCCATTTCCAGTGTCTTTACCCTGAACAATAGTGGTGACTGTTCGTCTTCGCCTTATTCTTCCTCTCCATCCTCCCTGTTCTCGACCAACGCTTGCTCCTCACCTAAACTGAGAGGGCCGCTTCACATTGGCCCTTTTACTCGACTTTAAGCACAAGGCCAATCACCCTCCCTTGTCCTCTCTGCTGAAGGAGAAGCAAAGGCCATCAAATTGTAATGTCAGCATTTATTGTCCCTCGTCTTTCACGCACGTGTGTATTCGATCTGCAGATGGCGTACTCTTTGTTGATTTGAAAAGCAAAACAAAATGAAAAGGTACCAACCATTCTGTGAATGTCCTTTACAGCCAAGAATTCTTACTTTGCCCCCCCCGACAGATAGTTAGGAGTCTTGAGAAAGTGTAGATGCTCAAGATTAAACTTGTGCCTTACATCTCCAGCCATGAAACTGCCAACGTAACAACCAGCCAATTTCTGTGTTGGGAGGTGCACGTTGGCAATACATTCAGCAGAGGGAGCTAGTGAGCAAGGAGGAGATCCAGGTTACTGCAACTTTATACAGTGAACTACTCACACTGGTTCCAGTTATATTGAACTGCGTCATTATCTCACCAACCAAGTACTGATTTTTTTTTTGTTCCTTTAGACATATTAGTTATTAGCCTGAATATAACATTGTTGATTTACTATTCCTAATCTATTTTAGTCTTCAATGTTTGCTTCTGGTATATTCTTAGTTGTTATTGTTTGTCATAGGTCAACAATTTATTTAATTTTTACTCACTCTTTTCGTTTATTCTACAGAATGGAGATTGGGCCTGTGGGCACCTTAATCCAGAATATCTGGATTAGTCATGGAAGCCACTGTGTTTCAGATTTATTTATGAATAACAAAATATAAGTAATCCCGTGTTCATTAGAACGGACCCGTTGTAGCCGAAAAGATGAAAGATGAAAAAGATGTTGTGTAATTACAGATAGGCTTTTCATATTATTTTGCTGACAAGTTGGTAAATAATATAAATGCAGATTTTTTGTATGTTCTGTTTTAGCAAAAATGTTGATTGCTTTCCCCAAACCCCCCGAGGGCAAAAGGTGTCTGAGAGGGGATTTTGTGTGTGTGTGCGTGTGTGTGTATTTTCTTTTAACTAACATTTGTGTCTCCTTAAATTGGTCTGTATTTCTTTGTCACCAAAACCTTACATTTAAATGTTATTTTTTTTTTTGTACATCATGATTTCATGTTTGTTTCACTGTTTTATATATCTTCATCCCAACCAAAGATGAAATGCTGTATGTTAAATAGATTCTCAAGTCGTGTGCTTCAATCTGAATAAGTCAATGAGCTGATCTGAAATTGAGCGTCATCGAAGGATGTGGTGTTGTGTTTTCGTTTGCTGGTGTGATTTTTCAAATGTTGCATGGTCGTGTGTCAAACTGTATTACAGAATAAAAACATGAATCCCCCGCATTAGCCTCTCATTCAATGAACCTTAAAAAATTTACCTGAATGCCATTTAAGGCATTGTTCTGTTGGGGGCTGCAAATCATATTTTAGCTTCTTGATTAAACAAGTCTTTAATAATTTTGTCAAGTGAAGCTCCTGCTGGAGAAGTTTTACTTCCAGTAGAACCCGGGAGCCATAATCCAATTTAATAAGAAAGAATTGCATTAAAGTGTTTGCATGCATTTTTTTTACTTCCAGTAGACCCGGGGAGCCATAATCCAATTTAATAAGAAAGAATTGCATTAAAGTGTTTGCATGCATTTGAAATGTTTGGCTTCAATTGATTTATTGCAAAAGTTTTATTCATTCGGCGCTAGTGATTCTTGTGCTAACGTCCCCTACAATGCCGCCAGAGGGGGACTCCAATCCAGTAAAAGCACAAATGGTGCTAGTGTTTCATCCACTCAACCACTAATACTACAGGTGCCAAACTCAAAGCTACTCAGGTCTGGCTTTTCCATCTCATGTGGCCTGCAAAAGTTTGCCCACAATTTTCCCTTGACTGGTTCAAATCTAGATTAAGTACAACTAAAGTAAACGCAGAGGCAATTAAGTATCATAGGGTGATGACTCTATTAGCGTTCCTGACGGAACACATCAGGTAAGGCACAAGAAGTGTGGTGGCCCATACTGCAGCCACTCACGCAGTCTTTAAACGGTTTATTATAATGAATTCACTCTAAATCCGGGCAGAAAGTCTTTGAATAAATCATTGCTATTTGAAAGTAATACAACCATTTAGGAAATGCTGCAAGAATACTGTAAGAAAAGTGAAAGAGTGGATATTGGTCTGATGGCAAAGACATGTCAGATTTTTAAGACAGTAACAGAGTGGTTCATCATATCAAATTAATCCATCTATCGATTTTATAATTTTATTCTCATGACGGTCGCGGGCCATAATCAAATGAATAGGATGGATATCAAACGTGCATCATGTACCACAAGATGTCGCAATATTCCTCGCTGGTGACGTCACATTCGTAAACATCAAAAGCACCACTAGTGCAGGGACTTCTCGCCGGGTACGGTGGCGCGTACCTGTAATCCAAGTTCCCGGGAGGCTGAGGCTGGCGGATCGTGTGAGCTCGGGGGTTCTGAGCTGCAGCGGACTATGTCGAGCGGGTGTCCGCGCTAAGTTCGGTATCGATATGGTGCTCCCGGGGGAGCTCGGGACCACCAGGTCGCCTGAGGAGGGGTACACCGGCCCAGGTCGGAAACGGAGCAGTTCAAAACCCCCGTACCGCTCAGTAGCGGGATCGCGCCTGTGAATAGACGCTGCAGTACAGCCTGAGCAATACAGCGAGACACAGTCTTTTACACTTCATATCTTTTTACCAAAAACTCACACAACACTGCACGTAGTATATTTACGTCAGGAAACCTTTTTATAGTCCACTTCTTCCTTCACAAACACAGTACTGTATTCGTTTTTGTATGTTCTACACCGCCTCCTTTTGGAGAAAGCTGGTGACTGCATGTTCGAATCACTGAATAATCTGGTGCTTTTGGGTCCTTTTCCATGTACAATCATGACAGTGCTGTGTTTTGTACATTTGTGTATTTATCTTAAATGTCTGTCTTTGCTTATACAATCAGCGACACCACCAACTGGCAACAAATTTCTTGCGGGGTTTTTAAACATATTTGGTCAATCGCGAGGATTCTGATTCTGACACATACCACAACATATTATTTCTAATCCTGTACATCCTGGTGACTCTTTCGAATGCATCCAAATTCCTGCCTTTTAAAAAAAAATCAGTTTACATTCAATCCATCAGGAAGTTATTCATTTAACCACGTGGCGCTTATCCTGCTTGCAAGTAGTATTAAGCTCGTTTGGGAAGAATAAGAGTATTTAGTGTATGTTTATTTCGGTCTTTGAGATGTGAACAGCACACTTGGTACTTTAAGCACGAACCAAATGCATCAACTAAAATCAGAAATTGGTCAAGACGCAACCAGACCAAATGAATCTTTGTGAACGCGCAGCCTCACGTGTCCTTAAGCTTGAACAAAATAAAGACAAAACCCCTCCAGACGACAGCTATTTCACTGTAATTGGTGTACACTGGCTTCAAAAGATGAGGTGAGATGTACAATGCATTGCTTGTGAAAGGAAACTCCAAAGCACATTAAAAGTGAATTCGTCTTTGTGTAAAGTGTTTTCAGGGTCATTCCGGTCACGACGCGCGCACCTCTCCAAAAGCGCACACGTCTCCAAAGACGCACTCTATACTTTGTAAAAGACAGTCACATTGTTGAAGGGTTTCACAAGAGCTGTACATATGGCATCCGGGTTGCAATTAAATGTTTTTTAAGATGTTTTCTCTTTCTTGAAGAAGTTTCCCTTTCCCTTTCTCTCTCCCGGCAGCTCTTAGGCAGAAGGAGCGTGAGGAGGGGGGCGCATTCAAAGGCGTCCCTGATAACAATCTGGTCAGCGAGTTGTTGGACTTGGATTGGCCTTCTCAAAACGTCCTTCAAACAAAAAGCTGAAGACGAAAATAAAGCCCCACCTGGTACTTCTGTTTGCTAAAATAATAAATAGATTTGGTTTAATAAATAAGCAAAGGAGAGCGTGAAGTAGTCGGGCAGTATAAACCAGGCGCATCGTGCAGGTATCACCTGCTCTGGAGATTGGACATTTGTATTGTTAAATATTGTTAAATCACTTTTCGTACCAACTCTGCTGTCATATCTGCTTTTACGGGTGCTTGTGTTTGCCCACACTTAGCATAACAAGCAGGATAAGACAGCACAGTGATAAAACCAAAAACAAGAAAAAACCTGACTCCTTTAAACTAACACCTGTCTGTCATATCACAATATGGATATGACATCGTTGATTATTTGTTAAGTGGGGGTATTACGTTTACCTTCGAGTTTTCGTGCCTTTTACAATTGCAAAAAGACGTCTCATATCTCGCCCGTGTATTTGTCCACTTTATTGAAAGCATATGGCGATCAGATTGTTCCCAAAACACATATTTGAACAAAATGTTGAGGATGATTTTAGCCTTAAACCGGCAATCATGTTTAAGATCTGGAAAGCGGACC